TTAGTAACAACATTCCGAAAAATAACTGAGGAGCTCCGCTTTTAGGCTGGCCTAAATCTATATATTAATAACTTGCTTGTTACTCAGGCTTCCGGAAAGGCCGAATCTGCACTTAGTGGGTCATAGTGCCAGGTGTTCCTAGCGGAGCGGCACGAAAACTAGGGATGATAAATAGCAACGTGAAGATGGAATAGGGACAAAACTATGAATACTGACTTAACAAGCAACTGTATGATGCTCAGACAAACACCTCAGGAGACGCAATGAATTACGTGGCATTCATCGTCAGAATCATCCATGTTTGTGTTGAAAAACAGAGTGCTGAAAAGCGATGTCACGTAATTGGCAGGAAAGAGGAGCTTTCACTCATTGCAGTCACTTTCATTTTTCTTTCTTTTTTCCTTTTTTTGTTTTTGTTTTTTTCCATTTTCTGAGCTGATACCAGTTTATTTTTGTTTTATTTAATTTTTTTAAAATTTTATTTTACATATTTTTTGCGCAATTACGATAATTATTCGATATTCCGGAATGTTCCATGTTCCTGGTTTTATCGACGGCCGCTCTCGGGGTCATTAATGCATGTCAATGGCCGTTGAGAAACCCAACCTACTCGTCAGTAATAAATTTCAAGGAATATTGCCAAAGTATTTAGTGAGCTAGCCGTTCATACTGAAAATAAAATGATAATTTTTAGAGTGGATCGCTGCTAAATCGCTCGCAAACGCATCCAACTTGATGTCGTCCATTTTCCCGCGAGAATTACTGTCTTCACTGTGAAACTGATAAGGCATCTATATCTTTTTGATGAGGTGTGAGTGACATTTGATGACAGGTTGCATCAGAATTAAATCAATGGGAATTTCCCGTTGCTGGAAGAACGGGAAATTCTGAATGAATTTAGCATATGCATGGCAGACAGTCACATTTTTTAGCGTCTCTCCCCATTCTCCCTCGCCGTTTTTACACTCGCTCCAGACCTTTCGTTCGAATATTGACCGTCGCTCACGTTCACAAAAAATACGACTGTTTTGCAGTCTACCATAGTATCAGTTAATTGAGCTTTCAATTTAAAATTTTATCAATGTGTTCCTTAACCATGTTAATGTTTTCAGTCTTAATTCTAGTCTCTATCTTGGGAATGAAGCTTGATACAATAAAAGCAATGAAAGTTTCCAAAATTAAGACTAACAAAACTATAAAGCATTGATAGAACACGTGTTTTTAAAATTAAAATTTAATTTATTAGAATTAAAATTCTCATGATGTAACCATGAAATATACTGACAGTGTGCAAACAATAAGAAGGGCATTGGAAATTGAAAACTTGAAATTCCTAAGGAAAGGGGGCCATTGAAAGCCAGCATTGCATTTGGGAAGTGTGAAACACAATTACAACTTAAAAAAACCCCTAGACTTTTCTTTCTCATCTTACTGTAACTTAATATTTTTCTTGTAAGCATAGTTGCAAGACTAACCTAATTCATTATCTTCATGTTTTAAATTATTAATTGTCTGTTAATTCTTGAGCAAACGTTTCTTTCTTCAATATATAAGTGTAATCCAAAAAGATATCTTTATTAGGTTGTTTCAGTTGATCTGCTGCTACTAGTAGGTACCAGAGGCTCAATAACTCTGTGGGTGATCCTGGACTTACTTAAGAAAGACAACCTAAACAGACCAACTTGGCTGCAAAATGCAGATAACCTTTTTCTGATGAAATACTTCAAACAATTTAACATGAAAGAACAACAACAAAACTGGGGTATTCCTGGAGGTCCAAACCCCCTTGCAGATCGTTCATTAAAGGTACTTTTAAATGTAGAAGGTAGAACTTAGAGTTGCTTAGCCTGCAGAACAGGCCGATTAGCAGGGCAGAGAGCGAAATGCTGGAGCAAAACACGACACACGAGCACAGAGCACAACCATGAGCGTGAAGCGTGAGACAAAAAAGTCCGCCTGTAGTCACACCATTGTTTATGCTTTTCCAACTGTTTGCCTGGCGAACAGTTTTTGCTGATTGGTTGCTTTAAGCCACGTGACAGGCCTATGCAGACTCCTGCAGCTCGTCACATTTTTACATTTGCCATTCTCTTATAAATTCCAGTCTCTCAACCTTTTATTTTGCTTCTCACTTGTTTCTGAAGAACACTTAATGTTGTGTTATCAGTAGGACTTTTTTAAAAGTTGAGTACAGCTGTTGAACTGTTAGAGGTCAGAGTTCTGCATGGTTCCGGCAGTTATCTATCGCTTTGTAAAGTTTGAGACCTCTATAATTTGCCATGTGCCAAATTATAAAGTGTGGTTTGTCTGGCCTCATTTCTGTTGCAGAAATGTATGTTGTATCTCTTTTTCATTGTTCGCTCTGGAGGGAAAAAGTTGGTGATTATGTTGATTACTTGCATTCTATATTGCAATGCTGGGGCCGGTTGTTAGATTAAAACTGTGTTAAGTCATGTGGCTTGTTTATTTAATACCATGGATCATATTTAGCTTTGTCTGGCATCGCCAGAGACTGCTGTAGTGTTACTTTGAGAATCTTAGAGATCCCTTCAATGTCTTCAAAGTTGTTTCTTCCATCCTTAATTTGTTCAAGCTTTTCATCTCCTGAGCTCAATGTTTAGATTTATACCTCCTTTGTTCGTTCCTGCACCACATGATTTAAATTTGGCTAACTTTAGATGTTCAGGTCTGTTGACTGTTTTGCGTTGTAAATTGGCTACTTAAGAAATTTTTTTGCGCTAATAAATTGAATTGCTTTGTTCTCTCTCATTCTTTCATGCCAATCATTTCAAGGAGGTGGTAGAGCATAAACAATGGTGTGACTACAGGCAGATCTTTTTCGCCTTGTGCTTCGTACCCATGGTCACATTCCGTGCTCGTGTATCGCGTCTCACGAATCTATCATGCTGTCCACATTGAGAAAAAGAAGGGATTGCCCCCTTTGAGCAGTGACTAGAGCTAGTAACATTGTGAGCTTCAGAGTTAAACTGGGCACATGAAAACTTGTGTGTTATGTTTCACAGAATGCTTTGCCATCATGTTACAGTAGACAAAAATTGAAATGAAACCATTCAAACTGGACTTTTTCACTACCGCTTTATAAATTGCCGCTTAACTTCTATTGGCAAATAATCATAACTCGTGGCAGAAAAAGGTGAACCATCAACATTGAGATTTGTAGAAAGGTTACATTCAAAAATGCTGTCAGTACTTAAATGAACACTCTTTTTCTTGCTAAATTTCGCAGGTAAAGTTACTCTTCTGGCTGGAATAAAAGTTAACCACTGAAGGTATTTTAAGTTTGCACTGGTCAACTGAGAATTGCAACACCATCTCTTGTCCTAGTTTTTGGAACAGGCATGAGTAGCAATACCTTTGCTGCTTGTTGACTGGTGCTAATCCATTACAGGTTAGATGGGGAACATTTGGGGGTCTGGGTGCGGCGAAAAATTAACACCGCATCACTGCAAGATGAAACACCATCACCACAGCATATATTTTCAAAGAAATAAGCTACGTATTTCAGTCCTGAGTTCTTGGTCAAACAAGAAACTACAGTACACTGTATAGTAATGAACACAAACATCACACATCCTGTTTGAAGCTGTGAAAACTTAAACTCACCAGAAATTTTACACCTGGAGATGCCAGATACAATGATCAGCTTCCTGTAAGGTTGGGCCACATGAAGCGAGGGCAGTTGCAATCTTGGCAAGTTGATCTGCACTGAAGATGGAGGTCCAGTAGCTCTGATCGTGAGAGTAGATGACAAGTAGCTCCTCTCCAGCATTCACCTCTCGTGTTGTTTTAATCCAGATCTCATCATTCCATTTAGAAAACTCGCAATTGACTCTTTGGGCTATTATTTTTGAAAATTTAGCTTTTGCAAGTGATAGTGGAAAACTACCATCGTTGCAGAAAATTCCCAAACCTAGTTCGAAGGGGTTTTGTTTACCATCTACAGAAAGAATTTTGTCTTTGAAAGTCATTTCAATTACATAGTCACCATCCAAGTGTGACTCTCTGAGGTTGGCAGTAGGAGCATAGGCACACACGTATCTGTCTCTGGGGATTTTATGGAGGGTGAACAAACCTAGACCAGTGTCCACTCCACCCACCCCAACCACTAGACTAGGTCGGACTTGAAGGAATGCCTCGCCAGTTTTAACCACTTCAAAATTCTTTTCTGGATGACCTGACCTGTAAATATTAATTGACAAAGTGTAAGGACCTATTTACTTGTTGGAAGGTTGGTCATAGCACTTGGATCATTAAAACACCCCCACCTGAATTACTGAGAAAACACAAATGGCTCTCTTAAATTCCTTCACATTAGACAGTGATAACATGAGGTCAACAACTATTATGTTACGTTACGATTATTTTCTCCAGGAAAAGTTTGTCTTCAGTTCAAGTGCACAAGGCCAGCCTTCTTCATTTCCTTCTGCAACTCATTAATAATTCATCAATTTGAAACAATGGAAATCATAACTGCGACTGTGTCTGGATATCAGATCTTATTTAGCATAGATTCTTACGAGTGTATTTCTTGTATTAGTTTTGGTTTTGATTGAAGAGATATATCAAACACTTGAGGCTGTATTTTATCACGTTTCCAAACATTCCAAAGTTCATCATAAATACTCCACTACACATCATGTTCTCAACTCTGTTCTTGGTGTTTGGAAATGTGATAAAAACTGTTTCTCATGTGTTACAGAATGGTTTTTCAATACTGATTTTAATTTTTGGCATTCGGCATTTGAACAACCAGGTCTGTTATATTTATCTAGTACCTTGTAATCTCTTTGTAAATTCCAAACTGGGGTTCTTTCTTGGGTAAATGCTGAGTTTGGTGCTCATGAGCTTGTGCTCGGGTAGTTTGGTTAGAACAAATCTGTTTGGTAGTTTTTCTCTCATGCCAAGGTAGGAATGCACTGGACTTGTTATAAGGATATCCTTTCCGCTGCAAATTCCTAGTTGTCTCAAGGTTAAAATGCTTCAAGATGTGGTCAGCACTGTTATCTGAATTGCACCCATAAATGAAATTTCTAGAGGCACCACACCAGATTGGACCCATTTTTTTCTCTTTTGCCACTCCCTGTAGACCGAGTAGTAGCTTGTCTTGGCAGTATCTCGTGAAAACATGGCAAAAACCAGTTACAACAAGGAGTGCATTGAGTGATAACAAGAAAGGACTCGTTGTAGTTGCATTACATACTGGAAATGGTGACATTAGCCTCTTGCGTAGCTCTGATTGAGTACTGACTAGCTGTTCAACAAACTCAAGGAATCTTGTCTCCATCTCATCAGAAGGTGGTGTCGTATACTTGAACCAAAATTCCTTTAACGGGCGGCCATAGTAATCGTGAGGGAGATCTATTCCCTCCGCCGGAATTTCTTCACACAGATCAGCTGTTCCTTGCAGAACAAACAAGCGCAGGAAAAGATGAACTGCACAGAGGCTTATGTGACCCATTCTTTTTAAATAAACATGTTTTAAATCATCTGTTTTCACAAAATGGATTGCTGCCAACTCCGGTGCATCTATTCCAAAAAGACGGGTGAAAACTGCATTCTCTAGGGGTTTGTCAGAATCAATATTAATGTTCATAACCAAACCATCACCATCACAGGGAATAACAGTGGGATAACATATTTTTTCGGAAAGTTCTGGACCTCCATCATCACACACCACAGATCTGTATGGACTTGTATTGTTGTAAGCTTCGTAGATGTTGCTGGGCACATCACACGTATGGTGTATTCTTGCTGGTAAATTAACTATGGCTGACCGTACTTCAGCACTAACAAAATGGCTCATTGGCTCGTTCACATAATTTAGCAATGGGAACTTGGAAACTGAATTGAAAACTGCAATCTGGTCATGGAGATTAGATGATGATGCTCCAAGTTCATCTATTCCATCAAGAATATCTAAAATAGAACTGTAGTTTGGCCTTCCACGAGAACGCTGCTGAGGAACATCTGGCATGCTTTCACTATGGTGTTGGGCTATGCATTCTGTAAGAAATCCACCTATGGCATAAGCCTGCTGTGTGGCAAGTTGATACCTTTGCTGCAAGGCTTGATGTAATTTTCCAATAACCTAACAGGTAATAGTCATAATATTTAATTCACTGCTTGTGTTTTGTGTAGTTTGAGGTTATTCAAACTCAAAAGAGGAGGCCAAACTATATAAACAGAAAACCTCACTGCAAAGTTACAAAAATCAAATCAAATCTCTGACTTATCCTGGGTTAGCTTAATCGGGTTTTGAACAACATGACCCGGGAGCTCCCCTTTTAGGCTTGGCTAAATCTGTATATTATGTAATAAGGAACAATCAAAATACAGCAGACAAACTTTGCTATTATCTGCATGTGAGCAAAGTGGCTCATCAGGCTGGCGCTTATCTAGGGTTTTAGTGACAGTTTCAGTTCTGAATTTGTAAAATTATTGTAAGGCACATCGGGTGTGAGCTAATAAGCCCTGTAATAATTTTAATTATATGTTAAATATACTATTGTTTTAAATTATCATGCATAAATTAAGTACTCAGATCCAGCCATTTCAGCAAGGTAGTTCAAAGCTTATGGAACAATGGCGGAAGGTATTCTAGGTTATAACATGTAAATGTTGATAAATTCCTAGAATCTGTGAAGATGGCTGATGATGGACAATTTCAATATAAATGTTTTGGGATATAATACTGATGAGCTGCTGTAAACTTTGATTAATCTGTGGTGAAGTGGAATTGCCCATAATACCTTTGTCATTGTTTTATATGCCTTTATGGGAGAATTACCAATTAGGGTTCCATGAGATTAAGTAGCAATTTACAAAAGAGCCAACCAATGTCTTAACAGGATGATACAAATGTTATTTTAACACACTGTGATTCTGAAAAGTTTTTTACCTGTATTGCCATGTCAGGATTGTCCTCAATAGAGAGAAGTTCTGTCACATCATCATTGTCAAACCGAATGATTGAATTGGGTGCCATGGTGGTATTAAAATCACAATTTTCCAGATATGTCATGTAAATGGCTGCTTTAAGTGATGGATCTTTAATAGGTGCCAAATGCTCCTTCAAATATTTGAATTCTTTGTTTTCTGCAAAGTTTACCTGAGGGACTGATTCACTTTCCAAGGCAGCTGGTGGTGTATGTGGAGATTCCTTTGAGATTGAAAGTTTATAAGCATCTTGGAGGTTTCATTTTATCTCGCTAGCCAACATGTAATAATTAATAAATCATGACAGCTTATATACCCAGACTCTGGTATTCTGTACATGCCTTGAGTTTGAATTGTAATAACCTATTAGTAGTTGTTTTACTCCATTATGTCAAAGAATTAAGAACACCAGAAGTTCGAGTAACAAGTGGACAGAAACTTTGTACCAAGATTATTTGCATCATATTGCAAACTTCTGTGTGACTATTTTGAATATCTTCTCAAAAGAAATCATTTCTTACAACACCAAATGTCAAAAACAAAGTTTGAAGTTCATAAGAAACACTTGAAAGTACTGGTGAAATAAAACTGACAATGAAATTTTACCTGTGATTGCACTATTTCTCTGAACTTCAAAATTCATTTTCTCCAGTTCCTTTGGAAAATTGTTTTTGGTGTTATTTCAGGCAATTATTTATATCTTTAGCTTTAAGAAAATGCAAAAAGGATCTTAATATACTTAACATTGTATTGGTACAAGATTTTTGTCCACAAAAGTCTGAAATTGCTCAATTTCCTATCGGATTTCGTCTTAAAAAATTCAACATTGCACATCAACTCAGTTGATTAATATGCAAGGTTACCTTAGAACATTTGATCTTTTTCTGAACCCTGCGTTTCCTCTTTTTCACTCTGCTAGTTCTTGCTCTATCTGCAGTCCAAGCAAGTTGGCAAGACCATAATCAATATTTAAGGCCTTTTAACTTATTATGTGTTCAAGAAAATATCAGTTCCATAGCCTTCCCAGAGTATTTTTTTGCTTAAGCCCTGTAAATTACAGTTTCCCCCACACTTACTATGACAAATGTTTAGGTTTGAACCCCCCCTCAAGTGCATAGATATTTTCTGAAGTTGCAGGATACGAGTAATCTGTACAAGTGCCACTTATTGTTTTGTAACAGCTCATAGGCTCATTGTGTTCACTGAAATATAACTCATTAAATTCATTGAAAAGTCATTAAAAATGTATTGTTTTCTTAACATACCTGATGTATCCATTGGGATTGGAGACATTTCTTGTGGTGTAGTTGTACTTACTAAAAAAGAAACCATTTGGGAACAGTTGGACTCAACTGGCTAATCAGCATACCTGCTTTTTAAATTAAGTAAGCAGTGTGCATAGCTTAATGAAACAAGTCAATATTCCTCAGAAGCAGAATTAAGTTAAAGGGTATTCCAAGAGCTCAGAGTATCTGAATTAAATGAAGTGAATGAAGAAAAAATGTTTTACCCCCAGGCCCCCTTTTTACTTGTTCTCACACCAAGCTCTCTTGGGAACTATGTGTCAAAAAGTGACATGAATATTTAACCCTTTACCCTCTAAGAGTGCAAATGGGCACACAAGGTCATAACTTCTATGAATAAGGTCAAGGTCGTAAATTCTATGAATTTTTGCCATGAAAATTGTCTTGTGAAGATCTGCTCATTGAAGTCATAAAATTTTGACCCCCTCCCATCCAAGACATGTTTGACCACCCCCAGAAGTTTTTAGTTCCTTTTTCAGGATGCAAATGGAATGCAAGGCTTGTTTCATATCAAGCTATGCATTAAGAGCTGCTAGATAAGCTATAGTTTAGTGGTATACCTAACATAGTAGAAGATTGACACATTTTTGAAGTCATTCATTTTCACATTTTAAAGCAATTTCTCTTAAAATGTCTACCTTCTTCATAGCTGCTGATGTCAATTCTTAAATAAGCTGATTAGTGGCTTTCAAATGGCATATTGTACACAGGCAGAGTGTCTTTATTTGCTGAT